GCGCCGCCGGTGCTGAGGCCGGGCCTGCGCTGGGCCGCGGAGAGCGCGGCCTGGCGGCGCCGTAACGGATCCGAGCTGCCGCACCGCCCGCGCCTGTCTGGCCGACCTGCGGGACCGGACGGGCACCGGACAGCGGGCAGCGGGCCCCGGATGGGCTCCGCGCCAGCCTCGGGTTGTTCTGTGGGGACTGGACGGGCACCGGGCACCGGGCTGGACTCAGTCCCGGCCCGTCCTGCCGGCCCGTGGGCTCCGGGCACCGGGCTCCGCGCTGAGCCCGGGTCATTCTGTGGGCCCGGACGGGCACCGGGCCCCGAGGCGGCCTCGGCTGCGTTCCTGCTGCCTCGACATCTCGGGAAATTTCAGATCCTGCAGCTCTGGCCAGTGAGGTGCGTGCGCTGCGGCGTTTAAGCGGACAGGCGTACATTTTAAAAATCGGGCACAGGCTGGAGACCATTCTCTTGAGCTTAGATGTTGCTCACTTCTGCAGATGGTAGCGCTGAAGGTGGGCACGAGTTTTCGTGAGGAGCGGTCAGACTTGGCTTGCAGTATTTGTTCAGCGGGGAGGAGACAGCAGTTTGAGGCTCTGCTGCCTGCCTGACACCACCGGCTCTGCAATCTGTGACCTCAGCCAGGGAGAAGCAAGTCCCCTGGGGCTGCAGAGCAAGCCGTTCTCACGGAACCCAGAGCCATCTGTGAGGTCTGTAGCCCCTCTCGGACCTGACCTGTCAAGATGAGGCATGTGGGACGAGTGCCACCGGGGCCCATTGTTTCCCCTTGTTTAGAAGTTGAGGGAAGCACTTGGATGCTGTGTTGCAGTCTCTGCACATTGTTCTGGTGCAGAGTGGTGGACGACACTGTAAAGTACCCAAACAGGGAACATGGGCGGTATGTGTTTGCAAAAGCATGTGTTGGGCTTAGTTTTGGAGGTGATAAATGACTAGGACATGTCTTTCTTAATTTTTTTAACAAATCTTTTATTTATTTGGTACAGTCTTGCTACAGAGCTTGGACTCTTAGTAACCCTCCTGTCTCAGCCTCCCTAGCACTGGGATTACAGTCCTGCGCCACCATGCCTGGCAGGGGTACCAGGGATGGAACCCCAGTCATTTCGCCTGCCAGGCAGGTGTTCAGACCCCCAGGCTATCTCCCCAGCCCCAGGACATGCCTTTGCAATAAAATTCTTTTCAGCTGTATGCTGAGAAAAAGATAATTTTTATAACAGTGATGTATTTGTTTGCTTATTCTTGAGTAAACAAGTACTTGAAATTATTTAAAATTAGCTTAAAATTTATACCTTAGTTAAACAGCTTGCTTGGTTTCTAAAAAATGAAAAGATAGTGAAACTCAAGATAGCGCCTTCTCAGTCGACTTAGTTCTTTTTTCTGAGAATTTGAAGAAAATTTATAGTTTGGAAATAGTTAATGTATATTTTGATGATTTTTGAGGAGCCTTACCTGAAAATAAAGAATGAGTCCTCAGAATTTATCAGCAGTCCTTTTGATCCTGAAGACAGTGATAGACAATTTCTGGTATTAAAATGAGTGTATGTCAGTATGTGAGTTAAATCTAGGAATCTTGGGAGTGGTTTGTTTCTTATGCATATGGATAGCCTAAAGGGAAAAACCAGGGCTAAGTACAGAACTAGCTTTCTGAAACATTTGAGGAAATCTTTTTTTTAAAAAAAGAAAGCAGCACTAAAAGGAATAGTATGTGGTTTGGAAAATTCTCAACTTTTTAAGTTTCGTTTTGGCTTCTCTACAGTTTTTCAGCTTTGTATGTAGCTGTGTTGTGAAATGAAACAGCATTTCCTTATTTTTTTCTTACAAAGATTCCGTCCCTCACTTTTTGGGGGGTGAAAATGGCCAGAAGGCTGTAAACAGAACAAGGGATTTGTCTTTCCTGCTTCTGAATGTGTGTATGCTAGTTTCAAAGCGGGGTGGAGGGGAATGTGTTTCCCTTAGGCTTTGGAAATCCACTGTGATATTGTAATGCTCTGAGCGCTTACAGACAGTTGGTTACACTAGATATTCCTCTTTGCATTTTGGGATAGAAGGTACTTGCAAAGCCTAGAAGTGCTAGTTGGTCTTTGCCCCAAGCCTCAGTCTGCTTCTCTGTGGCTGATGCGCGGGGTCTGTGGGTGTTGAGTGATGTCATAATGAGTGTGGCACTGGCTGGTGGATCACACCAGTAATGAGCTGTTCTGCTGTGGCTCTGGCCAAGGTGGGCCCAGGAGGGCTGTGCTAACAGTGCAGTGTTGCTCTGGTCAGAACCAAGTGGATGCAGTAGGCCTGGGGCTGCGGGCGGGAATCACACTTTCAGTGATGGCTTTTGTGAGATGAACTTGGCGAGCAGGTGGAATTCGATCACCTTTTGGCTGGAGTGAAGCTGGTGAATTAATCAGGCCAGATGATACATGGTGAGCTGATACTCTGTTATGGTCTTGTGAATTTTCATGTACAATGTGAACAGGACGATGTTAGGGAACCATAATTTTTCTGATGAATGAAAGAAATGTGTGTACTCTGAGAAGACAGTGGAGGCTTGACGTCTCCTAGATAGTATTTCACTCTGTTTTAAAGCTTAATTAGTTCCCACAAATTATGCATTAAACACAGAATATGATCACTTGGATAACTTTGAAACGCCAACCTAGTATTATTACTTAAGGGTTTTCATATTTTAAGCTCTAACATTTTTAGACTATTGAAGTCTTAAAAAGTTTAAAAATTGAAGTCTATTTTTAGACTATTTTAGACAATTTGTTGTGTAAGGTCACTGACTTTAAGAATGGAAATGATTAGGATACAAGAATATAAAGAATGGGAGTACGATTGGCCAGCAAATTAGGCCCAGGAAAATCAGACGGCAGGAGGGGCAGAGGATGGGCAGGGCACTCTGGGCCTCACAGGAGGAGCTCCCACTGGGTACACGGCTGCCCAGAGGTGTGCCAGGTGCAGCAAGGTGTGCTTAGTTAGGTGTCCAAATGGAAGGGACTGTTAGCAGGATCGGCAGGAGGACAGGCCTGGCACCAGTGCAGGCTCGTGTTCGTTGTGAGGGGTGGGAGCCATCTATGAGGGGAAGGGGTGGCTGAGTGGTCTGTAGCGCACCAGGTCCTCCTGTGTCCAGGGGACATGCAGTGGACTTCTCTGTTGCTGCTGTTTGCCCAGCAATCTGCTTTCTGTGGAAGGTCAGGGAGTGTCCCACAGGTTGCCAGTGGGGGAAGGCGGCAGTTGGGGTACCTGGAGAAATCTGTCCCTGTGGGGTCACTGTGTGATGGAGGTGTAGCTGAGGAGAGGGGTGACCAGAGATGACCTCTGAGTTTTGGCTCATTCCCTGAGCTTCAGACAAGGGTTGGGGAAGAGAGGGCTGAGTGGAGAGTTCACCTTAGGCCAGCCAAAGCATCACCCTCTCTCAGGGTTCCCAGGTGGGGTGTGGAGTGGGAGGTGGGGGCATCCCTGGAGTGGGGCAGTGGTACCACGGAGGTGCCTGGTGGAAAGTACTAAAGGCCCCATGGCTGGTAGGGGAGAGGTCTGGGGAGAACCAGCCATCCAGAGATTGAGGCTCAGCAGTTGAGCCAGAGTGCATCTTGGAGGAGGTAAGAAGGCAGGCTGGGCACAGAGCCTCATCCTTGCGTGGCAGTGAGTGGGTCAGAAGGGAGCGGAGCTGTATTCCTGACATCTCAAGGGCAGAGCTGGCGAGCTCCAAGCTATGTGGGACCCCCTCCTGCAGCGCAGGTGACCAGGCAGCAGGTCCCTGGGAAGCCCCGTGTGGAGTGTCCTACGCTTCCTGCACATGTTAGCTGCGCTCGGTCCCTCAGGACAGGAGCGGCTGCCCATCCGGGGATCAGGCTGTGGTGCCCGCTTTACTGCCTGCTCTTGTTGACCACTCCCTGGGCTGAGAGGCTGTCTGCCTCTGTCTTTGCTTCCTTGCACCTGTGATAAATGAAGACCTTGTTAGGGCTAAGTCAGTTCAGGTGGCCCATAGACTATAACGAGCAGAATCTTGGAGGTACTCGCTCTCTCCGCACAGACGCCTGCTGAGCGACACGTGGTTGCATTATTGATGCCCCTCTGAGGAACTGCTGTTCAGAGAATTGCAAGTTCAAGGCCAGCCTGAGTGATTTAGTGAGGCCTGGTCTCAGTCTGCTTTTCAAAAGGTCAGGGGATGTAGCTTGGCAATAGAGCATTCATCTCGTGGGTGAGGCCCAGGGCCTAATTCCCAGCACTGGGGACAAGAAAGGTCTTTTGAGTATTAAAATTCAGAGCTCTAAAATGAACTGCAGTATTTAGTTCTTATTAGGACTGGGGTGGGGGGAAGCTTTGGACTGTGTTTCCTGTAGCTTGGTTTCCACAGTTGGTTGTGTAGCTTCTGTAGGGCCCGAGTGTGCATACCTCGTAGCTTTAAGGAACTGCATACGTATGGTTTGGTTATGACATTTCTGAAGCTTTTTAGAAGCTTTCTTATTAATACTGAGCAGTCCTCATTTCTGTAATAACGTACTGAACAGATTGAATAGAATTGTTTTAATTTGGGGTGTAAAATTCCAGATATTTACAGATTTTTGTCAACATTATTTTGAACTATTTTAAGACTTAAGATGTGTTTCAGCTTTGCATGTAAACATATTGGATTTATGTCCCTAAGTAACAGAAAAATGAAAAGGTTGTTCAGGAATAATTACCCTGCTCTGTTTCCTTTGGAAGCTCGTGGCTACATCAATTAAAGCAGCACTTATAGCACTAGTTAGCTTTAACAATTTTGTTATGTAGGAAAATTCATTTTGATTTAGTTTTGGAATACTATCATGAAGAATATTTTACCTGTTAGGTGATATTATGAAAAAGTTACATCCCATGTGGAAGGTAAAGTCACCTGGAATACCAGTTTTGTTTTGTTTTGTTTTTTTTTTTTTTTTGTATTTTAGGAAAGGGTATACAGAGTCTCACTGCATAGATCGGACTTGTAGTGATCCGCCTGTTTACAGCCTCCCAAGTGCTAGGATTACACGCGTGTGTCACCATTCCCCGTCTCAATTGCTATCTCAGCGTTCCCTGGGTGCTGGGGCGGCGTGGCCTGCTGGGGATCAAACCCTGGCTGCTGCATCTGCTTAAGTCACTTTAATCCGCTGAGCTATTTGGCCAGCCCTCAAAAATATCATTTACCGACTCTTTTTTTTTTTTTTTTTTTTTTTTTTTTTTTGCAGTACCAGGGATTGAACTCAGGACTCTACACTTGCCAGGCAGCCACTTATTCTATTGAGCTATCTTCCAGGTCTCCAGTTTTGTATTCACTTACCTTTGTAATCATTTTATGAACAATCTCTCAATTAGTTTTCACTGTACTTCATGTTGAGTTTTTTAGACAGAAAGGATTATGAAATTGAATATATGGCTCTCCTTCAAATGGCTGCCCAAATGCTTGTTTGAATGTGTTTTGTGTAAGTAGAGGTTAGTGACTTTGCCCTGCCACTGCTGAGATCAGTAGGTGTGTCATTTTTCATAGAAGGAAATCCTTCATAGAAGGATCTGTGTTGGTTGCTATTTTACCTTGAGTCCTTTTCTATAAGAAGCACTTGATGAATATTTGTTTGAATTCATACTTTTTCTTTGGAAGGAAAACTGATTTATTCATCTGATCATTCTTCTTAATTGAAGTAATTTTAACTGTAGCCTAAACCTGCCTAGCTAGCTTAAAACTTATTGTAGAAGAATTGAAAATAAAATTCCAAATCATTTTGGAATAATTTATTTTTATTCTGTTAGTGGTTGTATTTTAAAAGTTACTTGTAGTGGTTCATAAAGAACTTTCAGTTTTCAGCGCTGGGGTTGCAGGGTGCACCGCCGTGCCTGGGCTCCAGGTTCAGGGCACCTCGGGGCAGGGCCTGCGCAGCATGTGGTAGGGCACTGAACACGGGTCCCTGCACTTGCCTAGCAGCAGGCCCTTAGGCCACTGCACGATCTTGCTGGCCACTGAGAACTTCCAGATTTCCTTCTTTAATTTAAATTTTGTTTTTTAAATTGGAAAATAATCATGGGGTGCAGTGTGATGTTTTGATCATTATGCGTTGCGCAGGTCAGCTGAAGCTAACGTGCTTGTTACCTCCCCAACTTTTTTTGTGATAGGAATGTTACAGATCTGTTTCCTAGCGATTTCTAATGTGTGCAATACGCTATTATTTACCATGGCCACAGTGAAGTGCAGTAGATCACTACAACTTATTCTTCCCATTTAACAAACTTTGTACCTTTGATTGACTTCTTTTTCCCTGTTTTTATATTTAGAGTTACCTCTACTGGTTATTGATTATTTAAAAATCTGAGTCAAGCCAGTATAATAGTGCACACCTGTAATACCAGTGCTTGGGAGGCTGAGGCAGGAGGGTTGCTGTGAGTTGGAGGCCAGCCTGGGCTACGTTGTGAATTCAAGGCCAACATGAACTGTGTAGTGAGACCATTTCCAAAAAAAAAGTTGCCTCCTTAAGTGTGGGATGAACGATTTGCTTGGGCTGAGCTCGATTTTGCTGTTGTTTTCTGACTAGCTGTAGTGTCTGTGAGCAGGCCTACTCTATGGCTTCTCATCCCCTGCTAACTAGGTGGACCATCTTCAAGGACGGCTTGACTTTCATTCTCAGTCTTGCAACTTGATCCTGTTTTATTCTTGGTTCTTACTTTCCTGTGACCTAGAATTTCACCTCCAGTTAGAACCTGGTGTCTCATGTCTGAGCAGATCTCTGGCTGTCTGTAGAGTGGAGAAACACAGCTCTCAGTCTCCTCCTGCTTTGCAACTGTGTTTTGATTATTTTCCTGGGCACTTCTGACTGTTTCTTAATAAAAGGGGCAGGTGTGTAGAGATGGGAGAGTATAGGGCCAGAGGATTCCTTGCTTTGAACATGGGTAGGCATCACTAAAATGTTGACCTGCACAGCCTTATCGTGTGCATGCAGAATTTGCTGTAGCTTACCAAATTTCAGGTGTGCTTTAAAAAGTGTTTTAATACTTGTGATGAATACCTGCTTGATGTTCATATTCTTGGTATCTTTCAATTGACTTTGCTTTTTAGTCATGTCTGTACAAAGCTTTTTGCCTTCTAGAGTATATGAGTTAGGGGCGGCGATATATCTCAGTGGCACAGCACCTGCCTGGTGAGTTTAATTCCTGCTACCAAAAAAAAAAAAAAAGAAAGAAAAAGAATCAGGGTGCGCCTAGTGGTGCATGCCTGTAATCCCAGCACTCAGGAGGTTGAGGCAGGAGGTTCACTGGGAGTTTGGGTCCTGCCTGGGCTACCAAGTGAGTTCAAGACCCACCTGAACTACATGGTGAAACACTGTCTCAAAAAGACAAAAGTATCCAAATCATTGCTTGAGAGCTGCATTATAAAAGTATCAGATTTACTTCAGTGGAATGCATTGAGGTGGAA